CCTGATTTCACCCGAAACTATTCCGATGTCCAAATATAGGCTTCCAATATATCAATCTTTATGTCTCGACCATTTAGAGACTCCTCGTCATGTCCGTGATCATATCTGGGACTCCGAACTATCTTCGGTACATCAAAACTTTAAGCGTGCGGACCCTACGGGTTCAAGAACTATGTAGACATGACTGAGACTCGTCTCCGGTCAATAACCAATAGCGGAACCTGGATGCTCATATTTGTTCCTACATATTCTGCAAAGATCTTTATCGGTCAAACCGCATAACAGCATACGTTGTTCCCTTTGTCATCGGTATGTTACTTGCCCGAGATTTGATCGTTGGTATCTCAATACCTAGTTCAATCTCGTTACCGGCAAGTCTCTTTACTCGTTTAGTAATGCATCATCCCACAACTAACTCATTAGTTGCATTGTTTGCAAGGCTTATAGTGATGTGCATTACCGAGAGGGCCCAGAGATACCTCTCGAACAATCGGAGTGACAACTCATAATCTCGATCTATGCCAACTCAACAAGTACCATCAGAGACACCTGTAGAGCACCTTTATAATCAACCAGTTACGTTGTGATGTTTGGTAGCACACAAAGTGTTCCTCCGGTACTCGGGAGTTGCATAATCTCATAGTCATAGGAACATGTATAAGTCATGAAGAAAGCAGAATCATCGTGCTAAGCTAACGGATGGGTCAAGTCAATCACATCATTCTCTAATGATGTGATCCCGATTATCAAATGACATCTCTTTATCCATGGTTAGGAAACTTAACCATCTTTGATTAACGAGCTAGTCAAGTAGAGGCATACTAGTGACACTTTGTTTATTTATGTATTCACACATGTACTAAGTTTCCGGTTAATACAATTCTAGCATGAATAATAAACATTTATCATGATATAAGGAAATATAAATAACAACTTTATTATTACCTCTAGGGCATATTTCCTTCACTCTCTGTATCCAATATAATTCCTCTTGATCCATCAGATTTTCCAAAAGTACTTGCACCTCCCTTAGCCTAGCCCGAGACTCTAAAGTGTTTGGTCCCAAGCGAAGTTTCTCTAGTTCTTTCTTTAGCTTCCTTATGCGCTTCTTTGGGCTTTTGAGAACATTGCGATCCCAATCGTGGAGGTCCGCGTGGACAGCCTTGGTCCTGTCAGCAAGAGAGGGTCTAGTACCTGCTGCCTTTGCTCGGTCCCATGCCGATTTGACTATCTCATTAACAGTTTCCTCCTGAATCCATCTCGCCTCAAAATGCAGGACACCTGCCGGGCTGACAAAACGAACAGCTTCCTCATATGCAGTATCAAGTATTAGTGGTCGGTGATCCGAGTGGACATGTTCATCATTAGTAACTGCAGACAAGGGGAACTTCTGCAGCCATGCTTGGTTAGCAACAAGTCTGTCCAACCTCTCCCGAATCTCTCCTCTTTGCCACGTAAAGTAGTCACCCTTGTAGCCTAGGTCTTCCAGGCCACAGTCCAAGAGGCAATCACGGAAAGCTTGCATCATGCTATTAGACCTAGCATTACCTCCCTCCTCTGAAGCAAACATGATCTCATTGAAGTCTCCATAGACCACCAAGGGATGTGATCCTTTTGCATGGAGATCACACAAGAACTGCCAAGATAAAGAACGTTGATCCCATGCCGGAACACCATAGAATCCTATCAATCTCTAGTCTACCACATCATCGTCCATAAATAAAACATCTATAAAATTGGCCGATTTATAATTCAGGAGCACATCGTGATCTTTCATATAGAATAACACAAGGCCCCCTGCCTTGCCATCACTTTCAGATTGATACATGAAATCAAAACCTAATCGAATCCATAGATCATCTGCCTTAGCTTTATTCAAGTGTGACTCAGACAGAAAAATCACACTTGCTCTCTCTCGCTCCTGCATCTCAAGGAGCTCTCGAATTGCCGTGTTTAAGAGCATCCCACGACAATTCCAGGCTATGTGTCTCATTGCTCTTGGCGGTCCTCTGATCCAACTCCACCAAGACAAATTGCCACAACACCTAAACAATTCACCGCATCTATGAAGCTCTAGAGCGCCACTTCCCCGTGAGAATCTCAGAAAACCATGCACGGTATGCCCCTCCGATCAAAACCGGCTGAGTAGAGAACTTCTCTACATGATTCATATGTCGCTCAGCTGGCTAGCTAATGTTGCCGGCTAGCCTTTTGTCTCTGTATCGAACGCACCGCGAACGCTTTATTTTTCTGATTAATTTCTCTATCGCACACTGGCATATGGACCCATGTTTCTAATGTGTGCTAACATGGCATCTGTCTGGGTGTAGGGCGTAGCGGGAGACGTTGCCAGGACCATATTGGAGTGTATCATCGTATATAAGGACCATAGTGGAGCATTTCATGACTTTGATGACCATCGTGTTATACGTCGGAGAGTATAAGAATTGTAGCTGTAATTATCTCGGATTTGGGACATGTGCTACTGCCCACAGCGTAAACCAATTTATGTTGACACATCCCATGGAAGATAAACGAGTAGGATACAGGATATGCAAAGCTTTCTGAAATACGTAGAAGAGGCGGCAGAATTCGCAATTTACTCGACACAAATTAATACTTACTATTAATTTCAAATATTGCCCATTATTGTCCACGAGGTAGGCGAGGCCCGAGGGTCCCCATAGTTGGCGGAGCCGCCTATAAAACCGGGTGCCGGCCGCCAGCTGTTGGCCGCATCCACCCTGCCACCAGCCCGCTACCTGCTCCTTAATTCTCTCTTCTCGCCCTACTCCCATCCCGTGGCTAGAAGCCAAGAAATTTGTCTGCCATGGCGTCGGAGCCGGTGATCGGGAAGCTCAGCGTCCGCATTGTCCGAGGCCACAACCTCGTCATCGCCGACTCGCTCACCCACACCAGCGACCCCTACGTCGTCCTCTGCTACGGCTCCCAGGTCAGATCCTCATCCCCTTCTTCCCAGTCCTTGGACGTAGGAGCCATGTGTTGCTGCCGGCTGCTGAGCGCGGCGTGGCAAAGGTCGCGGCCAACGACCCACGCATACATAGTTTACGGCCGCATGGCACTCAGGGGATCGGGGTCAGGGAGGGTGACGATCTTCTCCGAACTCGTTTTGTGCTCACAAGATGTTCGATAGATCAATAAGTACGGACCAGCTATTTCTTGCTGTTAAGCTGGTTCTTATATTCTCATATAGTTACACCAGAGAGGCACCGATTAATACCTTATAAACAGGTTTTGAAATGGTTGATTTGAATCAGACTAGTTCCCAACTTGGTCATGGAATTTCAAGACCGACGCATTTGGCCTGGCGTGCAAACAGGACATGTTATGTTTTGCAGCATGTTGAACTGAACTACTGAAGAGCAGTATATCAAATCATGAAATAAGTCAAGCTCAAAACAAGAAAATCGTGATGGAAATGTGAATGTCCAGTTGTTTAACTGAAGAGCAGAGTACCAAAACCTAAAAGTTCACCTTCAATCGAAAAATCATGATGTTATGTCCATTTAGTTGATTACCTACCCAATGGTTTATATAGTACAATCAATAGTTCTGTACGAACAGGTCTGGTTCTATTTTATCTCCTCGTGGAATTGTTGCTAGCCTTTGATAGAGTTGGTTGAATGCTATAAATTTTGGACAGTAGCATGATGTCAGATTTTCAGTTCACAATTATGCACTATTTTTTTTTTTGAAAAAGACAATTATGCACTATGATTATATAAACTGTAATTTCTACAGTTGACTTCAGGTTCAGTGACATGGACAGCTATCGTGTCTCTCAGCATTACTGCTAATTTCATTATCTATCTGTGTTACTGAAGTTTTATTTCCTCATGGTGTAGAAGGTGAAGACTAGCGTTCAGAAGAAAAATGCCAATCCCTTATGGAATGATGTACTGGTGCTCCCTGTCACAAATCCTACAAAGCCAGTGAAACTTGTAAGTTTGCTGTTTGAGTTTCTTCATCAAGTAAACTCTGCTAAAATTTTGTGTGTACATATTTTGTTTAACCTGAAGTTGAAAGGAACTTCAGTTAACAATGATTGCATGGAATTTTCTTTTGTGCTGAAACATGAAAAATAGGGGGGGCCCTTTACACCATAGATCCATAGATGGTTGGTGAAGATATGAAATGAACACTTATATATCCACCTGGCAAAAACATCATGCAGGAGGTTTTTGATGAAGACAAATTCACAGCGGATGACAGCATGGGAGTGGCTGAGTTCAATGTAACTGATATCTATGACGCTGCAAGGCTGGATCTAAAGCATGCCTCTGATGGAACCAGGATCAAGACGATCTACCCGGTTGGCACAAACTACCTTGGCAGTGAGAGCCACGTATCGTGGAAGAATGGCAAGGTCGTCCAAGACTTGATTCTGAAGCTGAAGAACGTTGACAGTGGCTCTGTCGTGCTACAGCTGGAATGGGTTCACGTCCCTGGTGTTACCCTGTAAGGTACGCCCAACTGAATGTTATTGCAACCTGGTTTGATGAAGCTGCAGCTATGGGTTCCTGTTCCTGGTGTCAGATGTGTTAGCAATTTGTGGATGTTGTGGTTTGTAGTGTATGTGCTGTGTGTGCGTTATTGATTTCAGCTTGATGTATGCAATGTATTTGTAGTACTGTGGTTGTGAAGTTCATGCTTGAAGTTGAACAAATAAGAGACACCGTTTGTGCTTACACTGAGGTGTAATTTAAGAATTCACGGCTTAAATTCAAAGATTGGTGGTAATTAGTTTACATAAATTTTCACCTGAATCAACATCATATGATGGGCTCGCAGAGCAACCAAAAACAACACAAATTGACAGCGTTCACCCGGCTGATCATACGCGGCTGCCTCCATGATCTTCTGATCAATCTTTACTCATATATTGCGGAGCAACCCAGCTCGTACTCGGCTCTGTTAGAGCCCCGCTGCTAGACGCGTAGCGCATGCAACACATGTCCCCCCTGCGTAACTTTCTCTCTCTATACCATTTCTGCAAATGAGGGGGATGTTGTGAGCTGGTGCAATGGACGGCTGGCTACGAGTGAGGATGTTCTGAGGGCGATGAGCGGCTGATTGCAATGTCACCGGCGTTTCTGAAACATCCCCTGTGTTGCGAAGGTGTGGATGTTGCGGGCTTGCCGAATTGCAACTTCACCGTCATGTCTAAAACATCACTTATGTTGTTGAGAAGGGTCTGCGAGCTTGCCGAATTGCAACTTCACTAATGTTTCTAAAACATGGTCAATATGTGATGCTGCTTTTGCGAAGGGGGGATGTGTGAAGTAAATTGCAACTTCGTGATGTGTTGAAACATGACCAATGTTGTAAAGCTAGACGAATTATGCACCGTGGGCCATTGAACCGCGGCTTATCTGATGGAGGAGGCAAGGGGATAACTGGAAGTTATCATTCGGCCGACGCATAGCTCCCCCCAACTAATAAAATCTACTAGAACATGAAGACGCGCGTTGCCGCGCCTGCCCATTTTTATAGAAAACGAAGTTATAAATCAAAGATGATAGAAGCATGTGATGAAATTTGAATCAGGCATATTTTGAAAAATGATTGGATGTTGCGTTAAGTACAAATGAAGATAATAAAAAAATGAAAGAATATGATGTTCATTATCGTTGGAAGGACCAACTCAAACCACAAATATTTCACTGAAATTGCACTCCTACCACTACATTGTATTGTGGGCATGAAATTCTCCAATCTAAATCTTTCTTGTGGAATCAACTTTTCATATGAAATTGAATGGAAATAGCTCGGGAACTCGATAAATAGAGTCAGAAGAACAACCGTTGCATTTTTATTTTGATTTATGAGTCACGATAGAGTCAGAAGAATCGCAAATAATATTGATTAAATTACACATGCCAAGCAACTAGCACACAACAATGATTACTTGACATGGTTGTCAAATTCAACATTTTTCTTGTTCTAGCATTTGCAAGTCTATGAAGAACAATGATTAGCAACTATGAAGAACAATGAATAGCAACTAGCACGCAACAACAATGATTACTTGTCTCGCAGGTACCCGTCAGGGAGGAAACATAGCCTAGCATTGCAGTTATCGAGGAGGCAAAGCGTGCCCATGCTGACTAGGCATGCCTATCTAATATCCTCGTTCTTTGCCAGTCACCAATGCTCTTTTTCTTGTTCTATCTCTACATTCTAATTTTCAATTTCTTTATGCTATTGCATAGCACACACTAGATTCAGTTTTATGTAAATTCCACTGTAATAGCACACTATTGTTCTAATGTTCTGCTTGTGTTCTTAAGCTATGTGAATGGGATTGAATGATAATATTCATTTGTTTTTTATTTTGTTGATCACCTTCATGTGGATGCACGATGTTTAACCCAATGAACTGGCAAATTCAATACCTATAGTGAACAACAATTGCTTTCTTTTAACATGTTTTCCCCACGTTAGGAACAATGCTTGTATAGGGACCATTGGACCTGGGAAGAAATCAAAATCTTTTTAGAAGGGCCGTTTGCATATAGAAGGTAACCCATTTTTTATGTGTTTGACCTACTGCTTTTGTAATCACTCGGTTCTAGAAAGATTTTTTCATGCCTAGTTTTTCTTCTGTTCCAGGTTATTTTGCATAGAGGCAACTACTTCCGCGTACTGAATGCTTGAAGTTATGCTTACATAAGGAGGGGAGCCTTCATAGTTACGCAGTGCTGGTTACCTTGGTTCGGTCATTGCATTACTATAATAGCATGACAAGAATGAACATGGCTATCTAACGGTCTTTTATCCATGCATATATTATTTGCTCTATACGTTTATGAGACTGAAGTCTTTTGACACTCGGAGTGCTTTGTCAAAGCATCATCAAAACAATCTTCTGTTTGATTTACTCTTTACAAGTTTCAGGTAATTGCTGCTCAGAGCTTTGGCAAACCTCAAAAAGGGTAGATCACTCTCTACCTTGTGATCATAACTCTTGATACGGGTTCTAAGTATTTTTCATCCGGTGTTTCAAGAATTTCTTCCATCTGGTTTGTTGGCCCCATTTATCTACTTGTTGTATCTTTCGGATTCCCTAGACTTGTGGTGAGGTACCCTAATTAAAATGGCTTGTTATTTATTTTTGCATCATCATTGCAACATGCTATCATGTAATCATGCTTTAATTTCGAAATGAGGCTGAATTAAGCCCATACGAATTAAGTGCAAACCTTAATTAAAATGTAACTCAATAAAATGCGTAGATTAAATTGAGAGATTTCACATGGATATTCTCTTAAAACCCCTAAACTTGTTATCCAAATGTTATTAGGAAGCTACAATAACTATTCCAACAAATTATATTGCCATTTTATTAATAATGATTCATTTGACCCCTCTCCTTTTTTATGTTTTAGCATGAGATAGATCCCAAACCTTGCACGCTCCTACGTGCGATATTTGGGAGATTCCAAATTATTTCACAATTTTAGCCCAAGCCTTAATCTAGCAATAGTTTATACCTCATTTATACCATTTCTAAATTTTTTACCAAATCAAATGCGAACCTTGGTCCAAATATTATTAATCTTTTTATGGGGCTTTAGTTCAATCCATAGGAGCTCCACAAAAAATCATGAAACTTGGAGTTCATCTAATGCCATAAACCTTCTCTGTGCCCACTAGCACGGCACAGCCTAACGCCCACAACCCCAAAACTGGCCAATCCCACCACTTCACCTATCTGTAATGACTGAAACTGATAAGATTCCCGTCTCGATGCTCACTATGGTAGTCGCTGGATCAATAGTTAGGACACACAGTGCATGGTGTAATATCAAAATAAACCACATGTCATAAATATTACATCGTAGATCTAGAATTTAAATATTACATACCTACATCGTAGAAAGCTAGCATACAAACAAATTATAGCGGAAAAGTAAATAAAATCTTCATAGAATCCATCAACGCCACAGACAAAAGTTAAATATAGACATCGTAACCATATATCGTATCACTTACTCGTCGTATAAACATCTGCAACATGATAAGCTGCAACCACAAGGGTCAGTACGTTGAATATACTCGCAAGTCATGCTAGGTATGATATAACATACCTACATCTACATGCAAGGTATAACAAAAGAATGAATGTGGTTGTTTTGCAGAAAAGCTAACTTTCCCCTGATAACTACATAATAGTCAAAAAAATTGCAGGAAAAACTTTCAATCTATTCATCTTCAATCTTGGTAGTACAACGAATACTAGAAATAATAAAAATTACATTCAGATCCATAAACCACCTAGCGACGACAACAAACACTGAAGCGAGCTGAAGGCACGCTGCTATCATCCCCCCTTCCTCACCGGAGCCTGGCAAACCATGTTGTAGTAGATAGTCAGGAAGTCGTCGTGCTAAGGCCCCATAGAACCAATGCACCAGAACAGCAACTGCCGCCGATGAAGAGTGTAGATCGGAAGGATCCAACCTGAAGACACAGGAACATAGACGAGCGATGAACAGATCCGAGCAAAGACAGATCCGCCGGAGAGACACCTCCACACGCCTACCGACGATGCTGGACGCATCACCGGAACGGGGGCTAGGCGGGGAGACCTTTATTCCATCTTCAGGGAGTCGACGCCGTCTTGCCTTCCTGAGTAGGACACAAATCCTAACAAAACTCGAAAAAAGATCTAAAAGCGAAGTCCTCCCACCGGAAAGGGTCGACATCCACTCCGCCTCCATGGTCCTAAGGCCACTGGAGTTAGGGCGGACCGGCGCCGGCGGGAGGCAAGAGGAACCCTAACTTTTCGGAAGCCGGCAGCTAGAGATCGTGATATTTGCTATAATAGTCAAATTTTAATGTCTTGATACAATTAAATACATAATGTCAAAATCTCAACCATTCCTAGTGGCTAGGCTCACTGAGTTTAGCCGTGGCCATTTTTAGACCTTTAGGTGTCTCTAATTTTGATGCTGCAGCTGGCGCAAATAATCTGCAGGACATGTTGTTGTTTAAGCCTGGCGTACTGGGGGCACTCTCAGGTGCAGTTGCGGCAAGGCTGGCTGACCAGAACACGGCTAATGATACTGGAGTATTTACTTTTGCTGCTAGTAAAATTCCCATGCAGGGTCAGAAAAAGAAGAAAGAGAGAAAGGATAGAAAGAAGGGAGGAAATGAGAAGTCAGAGAGTGATCGAAATCAAATCATAGGGAAAAAGAGAAATAACCCTTTTGATGCCCCACAAACGGGTACTGATTTAAAATTTTCTTTTGAGAGAGAGATGGATAGCTATGAACGCATGCTGTATGGTGAGACGAGTGTTTCCTCTAAGAGAGTTTGTATGGGTAGAGTTGAAACTAGGAGGGATGTGGATGGGGTTATTACGCATATAGCGAAGGAAAAATAGGAGGAGGAGGTTTACACATAGCAAAGCAGGGAGTCAGTTGGAGAGGACAGAGTTGCGGGCACTGATTTGGCGGCCTCCGGTCCGGAGGACCGCCAGGAGAAATGAGAGCAATTAGTTGGAACTGCCATGGAATGTTGTCTTCCACGGTAGTTCGAGAGCTCCGAGAGCTTCAAGGTCGTACTTGTGTGGATTTGATTTTTCTTTCCGAGTCGCATTTGAATAAAAGTAAAGCTAACGAGCTACGTTGTATCTTAGGTTTTAGTTCCATGTTTTTAGATGAGAGTGATGGCAAGTCTAGTGGTCTTGTACTTTT